GCGAGACCTCAGGCCAGTCCATTACGGAGTGGTGCGGAGTTTCGCAGCTCAAGGAAGAACATTTATGATCATTTCTTCATGGAAATACAATCAGACCAAGACGCTAAGGCAGAAGAACTACCGCGTCTGCAGTGCAAAATGATTAATATGATGATTATTACTCAAAGAAAATGATAAAGAAATGATCATAAAAGTTCTTCCTTGAGCTGTGTCACCCCAGCCTCAGTCAATGATGGACTGGTCAAGGTCTGGCGACAAACAAGAGGCTGCTGGAAGAGAGTAGGTGAGTTGTGTTTAGTCTCTTTGCTAAAGAAATTAGGCAAAGTTAAAAAGATGGTGGCTAGTACTATGGCTGGGACCCTATATGTCCTGTTGATGAAGTTAGGTGCTGTTCTGGGCATTATTTTTGGCTATAGAGTGGTGTTTTGGTTGAGGTTTGTTTATGGCTCCTCAGACTGCTGTGTATTGCTATCTTGTGGTCGTTACTCAAGTTGATATAGCTAAAGAAGCAAGTGGTCGGCAACATTCATCTCTCAACGGGGTGTCTAACTCGGTGTACAAGTGTGTTTGACCCTAAATTAATTTTATGCTGGACTATCCCTTTAATTTTGGAGCATCTGCCCAGCTAACTGTCTTAACTTGAAGCTGCATTAAATTCACACTTAAACCACAAGGACATGAATAACTACACTCATAAGTCTGATGTATATTTATCATTATAATGCATACGTGTGCTGGTATATGTTATGCTGAAGTTACAGGTTCGCGGTCGCCTTTTGAGTGTTGAAGAGCGTCACTTTAAGCTGGACAAAACCCCAGTATCAGTCGTCGCACATCTTTGTGATAAATGGAAATATTGTGCGGGTGTCCAAAAGTTTAGGAAGGTGAACAGCGACGGCAAAACTCAGGAGTATGCTTTTCATGGACAGAGCTCCATTCATTATTCAAGGCCTCATTTAAAACACATTATATATCATAATGGAAATACCAAACACAGAGCTGAGGACGTCCGTAAATGCAGAGGGAGAAAGCTGCTTCGCCTGCCGCCGACTTTTCCCACTTCTTTTGTCCGATTTACACGATCCATGACTCATTTATGAGAGCGTGACTGTTTTGATTTGTTTCAAAGAATAATGAAGTGGCAGGACTTGATTTCACCTCATTCCTGTTACTTTGCAGCCATTATAACAAATTGATGTAATGGAGCGGATGATGAAGAAGACGTCTATGAGAAGAATCGGAGGGCATATAACTACTAAAGTTCATCCTTTTCCAAACAGCCTGCGTGTAAACTCCGCTCTATATTCTCGGTGGGTCTGGTTTTCTTAAAACAGCCAGCCACGGCGCTAACAAGCCTTTAAAAGAACATTATGAATTATAATTTGTGAACATTATGTGCTAATTTCTCCAGGGGTGAGTCTGCTAACCGGGCTCTGTGTGAGGCCCTTTTCACTGCGAAACACTTCTCACACACAAAGTCACAAAAGAGTGAAACCATTTCATTCCTCACTGTGCTGCTGCAGCCTGTGTTTTCATGCTGTGGTGAGTGGGAGCCCAGCGGACCATGCTGGCATGTCTGAATCATTCCAGTCATTTTCAGTCTTAAGCATTATTCCAACAAGGAAGACACTTATTACCACAGCCGGGTGGGTTCAGCGACGCAAGATCCCCCTGACATGTTATCCCCGCTGCATAGACACAAAAACAGGGAATATACACAACCTATGAGAGTGGGCGGGACACGGGGACACACACACATGCATAGAACATAGATTATCCTACACACGCTTACACATGCTGGTGAAAACACAAATAAAACACAGCCCGACCAAAGCTATCCCCGCCGCAGCGAGAGTCTCACAGGCCGCCACAGGAGGGTGATGTATATATTTACAGCCTTTAGAGCGGATCAGTCACGGAGGAACGCTGCACCACCAGCTCAGGCAGTAAAGCTGAACGACTTCGAGACAGTGCTGGGCGCTTCTTCAACCAGAAAGTCACACTTGTGTGACAACTGGAAGAAGTAATCTAATCAGAAATGTTGCACACTCAGCGATTTTCTTTTTTCCATTTTGACTGTATAGAGGTATTTACTGCTGTCGTGAGAGTAAAAAGTCAGGTTGCACCTCTGCATAACAGCAGAAGGAAACAGTGGGACCTCAGCGCTGTCAGGTTCGCCCAACAAAAGCAGGAAGGAAACACTTCAACGACCAAATTTCAATGACCGTCCCAGAAAGACCATAAAAAGGTGACTGTCATACTGGCGGTAAGAGAGGATTGCTGACGATGAAGGATTAGAAACATCCGTCGTTCCTTCCCCATTATAAATATAAAGCAACTGTTTGATATAGTCAAATGATTAGACGCATGATATTTACATAGGGCTGAGCAATTTTATCAATTCTGGGATATAAATCGATATTTTTTTTTCAAGAAAATATCAATTTTTCAGCCGTGAGTATCGATATATAAAGTTTCATTAAAAGCCCCGTTGTACCGCCCGGTACTCCACTAGCTGCCTCCTTCCCTCTCACCCTGTTCGCTCTGCAGGAAGAGCGATTAGGTCATTAGAGCATTTCTATCAAGTGTCCCATCTAGATACTGTCTTTACACAGAAGAAGTCAGAGCGAGGAGATTCAAGAAAATGGCGGAGAATATAACTCCAGCACCGTCATGGCTAAAAGCAGATATGTGGGAGCACTTCGGTTCTAAAAGGAAGAAGGAAAGTGTTGATTTAGATAAAAGTTTGGCGGTTTGCAAGCTGTGTCACACAAATGTAAAATTTTCTGAAAATACAACCGACCAACAAGCGCACCCAAAACGTCACCACACGGACAAAGGAACCAAAGAAGCTGCAGCGTGACCCAAAACAAACCATGCTGGGCATCGATGGTGGTTGTTCCCAAGAGTTTCCATCGACCTCCCCAAGGTTACAAAGATTATAGAGACAATTAGCTACTTTATGGAACGGCATTCGTTCCACTAGTTTTCTAAGGTATGTTCCAGGGACTGCATTCCAAGCTTTCTTAAGTTCATTTAAAGGAGACTGCTGATTCGTGGGACGCGATCGATCGATCCGATTCATCCTGCACAAGCTCAATTGAGAAAGGTCTGGAGACTGAGGGGGCCAAACCATCTTTTGAAGAACACCGTCCTCTTCTATTTTGTCTAGGTAACCCTGACAGAGCTTGGCAGAGTGCTTAGGGTCATTGTCTTTCTGCAAAACAAACTTATGAGCCACAAATTTGAGTCCAGGTGGAACAGCATGGTGCTGGAGGATGGAGTGGTACTGTTCCTTCTTCATGATACCCTTTACCCAAACTTTTGGCCTGTAGTGTATATTGTATTGTGAGCTGAATATCATGTATCGTACCATATCTTATTGTAACGTATCACTACAGCCCTATATTTACAGGGCTGAGTAAGTGTTAATTAAATTATCAAAAGAGCGCTTTTATGATGAGCTTTTTAAGGAAACATACTCATCACATCTTTCCCTCACACCCTCCAGGCCCATTTAAGCGCTTATTATTTTACTTAGTTAGTGTTAATTGTTGGGTTGCACCTTTAAAAATAGCCGGCTTATTCAGCTTTATTGGTGTGAGCCACAGTATCGACACTGAGTGCAGTTATCTCATTGGCCCTTATAGAAAATCTCACTCTTGGCCTGGTTCTTTTTAAAGGTGTTAAGATCCAATTACAGACCCGAGGATAATTTGTATTTCCATTAAGATTTTGCCTGAAGCTTCAATTCGAGCAATCAAATCAGCCCGGCTCCATGAAGCACTCCTGATCACGCGTGTCTGCCGTGCTGCTTGAACACACAGACACGGCGGAGGACTGCAGGGTGGTATCTACAGTCAGCTGTCTGAATGTGTTTCTGCTCTGTGTGAGATTTCAAACAATGTTCGTCACGAGCGCCAATTAACTCAGCGAGTGACCATTATGATTCTGGGAGAGAGTCGTGCGGCACAGTCACGGTGATGATTGTTTGAGATCGTACTCTGCCTCATGATTACAGTGATGGGGAAAATAAAGATGTTAATTAAGAAGTGTGCAAACCCGACAGTCATCTTTGAACCTGATCACAGAAAGTGTGCCGGTATTTCAAGCGTTATTGTACTCTGTGTTAAAATTACACTGTGTAAGCTCAGTGAGGAGTGAATATTATGGTACATACTGTTAGCTAGCAGTGGTGTATTCAGGCAGGGGCATCCAGACTCCACATCAGAACCAGATTCAATTCCCATCCTGATGCGGGACCCAATCAAACCTCCTTTAAAGGGATATTCTGGCGTAAAATTAAGTTAGGGTCAAACACACAGTAAGACTGAGTTAAACACCTCCTCTAGAGATGAATGTTGCCGACCGCTTGCTTCTCTAGTTATACCAACTTTAGTAACGACCGCACGATAGCAATACACAGCCGTCTACGTCTCCACGCACAAACCTCAACCAAAACGCCACTCTATAGCCACAAATAATAGTCAGAACAGAACCTAACTTCATCAACAGGACATATAGGGTCCCCGCCATAGTACTAGCCACCAAACATCCTTTTAGCGTTGCCTAATTTCTGTAGCAAAGAGCTTAAACACAACTCACATACTCTCTTCCAGGAGCCGCTTGTTTGTGGGGGTGGCCCTGACGAGTCGATCACCAAGTGTAGTGGAGTTTCGCAGCTCAAGGAAGAACATTTATGATCATTACTTTATGGAATTGCAATCAGACCGAGACGCTTAGGCCGAAGGACTACCACATCTGCCTGATCCTTGATCTGCTGCACTCAGTGATCGACTCGTCAGGGCTCACCCACAAGCAAGCAGCTGCTGGAAGAGAGTGGGTGAGTTGTGTTTGGCTGGAAAAAAAAAAAGGCAAAGCTTAAAAGATGTTGGATGGCTAGTTCTATGGCTTGGACCCTATATGTACTGTTGATGAAGTTGGTTGGGGTTTGCGCATGGAGATGTAGACCCAGTGTTGTTTTTGGCAGGCATTTTAGATTTAGTTTTAGTCTTAGTCATTTTGACGAAATGCTTCTTCGTTTTAGTCCCATTTTAGTCATTTCTATCCTTGATAGTTTTCGTCTAGTTTTAGTCCGACGAAAACTCAAAAGGTTTTAGTCTAATTTTAGTCGACGAAAAGGTGCCTTTTGAGGTTCGTGGTGTTCTTTCCCGACAGTTTGAAGCCGCAGCATGAGGAAGCTGTGGCTCCACAACTGTCGTCTGTCTCGTCTCCCCGTCCCCGTACAAGACATTGTGTTTTATTGTCACTTGAACTGTAACTGAAGTAGGACCAAAAATCATCCCTCTTTTTTCGGCCACCGGGCACCGCTGCTGTGCCTGCCGCCACGTTGTGTGTTTGCGCGCGCCCGTCCACCTGCCGCTCTGTGTATGTGTATGAGTGTGTGCGCGCAGCTGTGCGCACAGCTGTGCGCGAGCGAGGCTTTTGGTGCGTGTGTGATGGGGGCGTGACTGTTAGGACAAAAAAAAGCATGTTTTGAAACTTTGTTCGTCCACCTAATAACAATTTAGTCTCGTCTCGTTCTCGTCTGACGAAAATCAATACAATTTTCGTCACATTTTAGTCTTTACAGAGCTTTGGTGACGTTCGTCTTAGTCTCATTTTCGTCAAGGAAAAAAGGGGTCTGACGTCGTCATTTAAGTTTTCGTCCTGCCTGACGAAAACAACACTGTGTAGACCGCTGTGTATTATTATCGTGCGGTCATTACTGAAGTTGGTATAACTAAAGAGGCAAGCAGTTCATCTCTGGAGGGGGTGTCTAACTTGGTATTATTGTGTGTTTGATCATAACTTAATTTTACGCCAGAATATCGCTTTAACTGTCTGGATTTCAAGTCTCGCAGGTTTAAGAATTTGCCTTGAAACCTCTCAAGAGTGACGCAGTTCAGGCGCTGACCTCAAACCGCTTTTCCTCAGTATGCAGCTTATTTTGCTCTTTTTAGCTTCTTTTAGTTGTTTTTTTTCTGTATCATTGTAAAAAAAGAAAAAAAAAACAGGTTTGGTGAAGGTTTTAAATGAGACTCTCATCCATGCCCTTTGAAGGAAAAACACAACAACAGATAACAGCCACTCCAGAGTCAAGTGTGCTCCTGGATCTCACCGCTGTAATGCATTTAAGAATAAAAGTCCTTTCGCTTACAGTCGGACCTGGACTGAGGGAGACCTTCCGACAGCTGAAACGATTCTTATCTGAATGCAAAGAACTCAAACGAATCATAGAAACATGGTACTGAACACGGGGAGGTTACTGCAGAGGAAAAACAACTCTTTGTGAGCTGAGCCGCGGGTGAAACCTTCATATTAAAAACCCTGCTCTCCGTAATTCAGCGTGAAAACAATGAAACAGCCGAGCTTGTTCGGTTAAAAGTGACAGGAAAAAAAGCTTATTCTTGCTAAATTGCATATGGCAGGTAATGGCAGCTGCAATTTTTAAAATGCGCTGAATCACAGGGCTCTTGAAGGATTTATGAAAGTACGACATATTTAAACTTCAGTCTCTGGATGTGTTAAAAAAAGGATGAAAGCAGGCGCTGGACTTTCATTTCTGTGGTTCTTAATGCATATTTACGTTTTAAACTTGCGTCAGTGTTGCTCTTTATAAGAATAACACCAAAGCAGGCATATAAGAGTAGACAGCATCTGTGTAAAAACCTGGATTTAATCTTCCTGGTACCAAAAGTGGTTCACTTCTTGATCTGCCTGCACAATAAGCAGAGAGTTCCAGAGGGAAGGGGCAGCTAGGGCTGGGCGATAAACCGAAAATTTACCGATACGGAAATTTACGACAATAACCAACGTCATTTTGCCCATATCAATACATCTGGTGTCAAAACAATACAAAAACAAAAGTTGGTTTTGGATGTGTGTAGGTAGGCTATGGTCTCATGTCCCTTCAAGATGCTGTCCGACGTCAGAGACGTGACTCCACCCCATCCAGTCCGTAACAAAGAGGGAAAGACAGGTGAGGAGATGGAGGACGGTTCAGAAGTTGGAGCGGCTGAAGTAGACGAAGTTAATGTGAGAGGGGGTGAGCAGCTTGTAGAGTAGTTATCGTCCATTTATCGTTATCGAGGTGAACTGATCAATATGTTGTGATATTGATTTGAGGCCATATCGCCCAGCCCAAGAAAGGCAGCTATGGAGAAAACTATGGTGCTCGAAGCAGAGGTGAGAAGGTTAGAGTCAGGTCAGTGAGGACAGAGGGGACCTGATTATGGAGGGCTTTAAAGGTGAGGAGGAAGAACGTGTTGGTGAACAGGGAGCCAATGGAGGTTCTGGAGGACTGGAGTGATGTGAGGAGGCGAGCAGCAGAGTTTTGCATGTATTGTCATGCAAATTTTGGAGGGTGAACCTCACAAGATACTGAAGCAGTAATCGATTCTGGATCAGAGTTTCAGTGGCGGTTTGTGATGAATTCACTTGGTTGCATTGCTTTGTTTCCACAATAATAATAGTTACTAAGAAATTTTGGGGTTACAATAACCACGAGGTGTAAATCTGATAATGCAAACACCCCCATGAATCACACTTTATCTGTGATTTCACATTTGTCATGTCTGGATGATTACTGATAAGCTATTTTTATTCTCCCCCTCACAGGAACTGCAAAAAATCCATGTTTCTCATCCTCAAGAAGTCGCTTTTATTCCAGATCGTCGCTTTTTTGGCGAGGAAAAAAAGCTGGACTAAAACCCGTCAGACTGAAGGGACCCGTGTGAAAAGCCGCTGCACAATATTTGCTTAAAAGCACATTAAAGCGAGATCGAGCCTGAGCTCAGCGGGCTGCCTTTCTCCAGGCCTTTAAGCTAATATTTGACTATGATAACCAATATGTTTGCAAAAACAGCGATCTGCTCCAGTGCAAACTTCTTCTCCCCGCTGTTCCTGCTGATTCAGACGCATCTGATCTGTGAACTTGATGCTAGTTGGTGTCTGGAGTCTTTTTTATGTTCCAGGAAAAACAAAGAAACTTTTCTCTGCGAGTTAGAGCGCCGACACAGTTTGCAGCGACAGATAACGCAGCTTAATGCAGCTGTCTGTCAGTGGGACGTCTCATCAAGTTTCGAACTCAGTCCTGTGAGCGGCGCAGAGATACGCCGGTTCATCCCACGTTTTGATACAAGGCCGACGTTTGGTTCATCTTTTGATTAGCTGTGGAGTTGACACGGCGCCCGATCCCACCTTTTCCTGTCACTGATCACAGTTAATCCGTTTTTAAACCGTCCGCTTTGGGCCTTTTTTATTTCTGCAACTTGTCATACCAAACACCAGGAATAAAACAAAGAAAGTTCGGAATATTTTTTTCTCTTGTTAAATAATTTCCACATCGAGGCCCCTTTTTTTTTTCTCTCTCTGAACAGCACCGGTGGTTCCCTCCGAACAGAGCCTCTAAAGTCTGAGTCGAGGATTAGAATATAATCCCGAGCTCTTTGCAACTTCTGTGCTATCATCTCCAACTGCACAGGAAAGGCTTTTATTTTGCTGGTGGTGGGCCAAATCCGTTGCGTTTCCATTTTTCAACCTCTCTCGCTGCCCTTATCCAATTCAGGGCTTATGATTGTAATACTAAAACAGAGCGAGTTGTCAAACCAGAAGCAGCGATGATGAATGCCCCGCTGCTCGCTGTGCTTGTTTGTTTTGCGTGGCGGTAGAGAGAGGGGGGGCAGATTGAATTTTATGCTTACTTGTTGAGGTGCATTTTCTTGACCGCGGCTGCTCTGCTGCACTCGGGCAGGCAACATTGATTAAATGGAATAGTTCTGTTATCAGGATAAAAAGGGGAGAAACACGGGGACGATAGTGGGCAAGGGAGAAATAATGAGTTCTTTCATCTCGGCGGTGAGGGCGTCTACGTCTTTCAGACTTCCCAGGGAGACGTACACAGCTTAAGGAAACGTTTAATTAGAAAATGTCAAACCTTGTGTCTGTGCGGCGTGTGTGTGCGTGTGTGTGTGAGGAATAATAACGTTTATGATGTGAATATGACAGCGCATTTCCTTTTGGCTGCTTTCAGGCAAAACTCAAAGACGAGCAATCAATTGATTCTGAAGAGGGAGAGAAAATAATTAGCCGCCCACGCCGCCGCTGCCGCCGCTCTGAGAGAGACAAGGAGCAGAGACGGCGCGGCATTTTGAACAGATTACAAACCGTATCAGAGGGGAGGTGATACGCCAGTCCAAAATTATCCCCATTCATATTTATATGTGTGTGTGTGTGTGACACAGGTATATCATAGGTCCGAGGGCATTAGTCATCTTTGGTTGACGGAGGCGGGTTTCTCTAAAAGCTTTGCTCTAAATCAGCAACATTTCATTACCTGACAGTCATGTATGAAAAATAGAGCATCTATTCAAGCTGCATTTACCTCCCTCTCAAAACTTTTCTTTGATGCAAACTACAAAAAAAGAAAATACATCCAAATAAATAAGAGTGAACAGACCCCCTTGCCCTCCAGCGCTCCCCCTCATTAAGACACAAATGGTTCAGTCTGTACCTGCGCCGCGGTTTGATCACAACCAAACGTGGCTAATCGTGCTGACTGCTGGCAAGCTGGATGTTTTTTTTTTTTTCCCTTCAACATCAAAGCTAAATCTGGATCCCCAAAAAAAGCCAAAATGAAAGGGAAGAAATAAAACCGAGGGAAAACAACTCATGACATATTTGTGTCAAGGGAAAAGTGGGTTTGCTAATGTTTAAAGACTGCAGCGCACCAGCGCCGATGCTTGTGTGCTTTTTATCCGCACAGTTATGCACGTCGTTCCCTGCAGATATATGAATGCTCACCCTGTCTGTTTGAACAGTCAAGAGGAATTAAAGAGCTGATTCATTTACATAAACGCGGCATCGATGGAAACGTTCCCACAAAGCGATACAAGGGACGCTGCGTCACTTTCGCACCAAGTTAATGTAGTTTGAAACGCACGCCGGCGCTCGGAGACCTGAACAGCTGCAGAGAAGGAGGGAGCAGGTGTAACATCCCATCTGAGCGCTCGGAAAAAAACAACAAGGTGAGATCTTCAGCCTGATTCATTCCCAGCAGTAATCCAAATTAAAGGTGTAACTGGTGGCAAAAACACTCCACACCTCAGTTTGGCTGTTTTCTTTTTAAATTAAATTATCCTGAATCTGTAACCTTGGTAACCAGTCCCAGATATTTGATTGGACTCTTATTAAACATTAAATCTGCTGAAACACTCAGGAGAAGAACCCTAAGCACACATCTATTATGATATTGGAAAGTCTTATTTCTTCCTCCTCTTTGTGTCCTTCTGGTGTGCACTACCTCTATTTGCTTTTCGGATCCACAAGAGCTCTAAAGGCGGCCACACAGGTGAAGGCTGCCTCCAACATCCGCCCCTTTAATCCCTCTTAAAACACACCGAGATCACAATTAATGGGACTCGCCTCTGATCTGCACGAATCCTTTTTATCCACTTATCTGTGGGGTCTGCCAGAGAACCTGTCCTCCTTTACGTTTGTTTTTAGTCTGGCTTAATCTAGTCTCTTACAAGTGAAAGGCCTTCCAGGAACCTTTAGGGGTTCTCCAGAGGGCACCCACCGGAGAATATCTCACTAAGTTCCTCACAGGTTTTCTTCCTCATCAATGATTCATGAAGTCGAGAGTGAGTGTTCGACAAACCTCGGATTTAGACACCTTGGAAACACACAGAA